AAGTGCAATGTCCTGCACATGCAAGCACAAACACAGGCTGGGTGCAGAATGGACTGAGAGCAGCCCTGAGGAGAAGGGACTTGGGGGTGTTGGTTGATGAGCTCAGTATGACCTGGCAATGTGGCTCGCAGTCCAGAAAGCCAACTGTATCCTGGGCTGCATCAAAAGAAGCATGACCAGCAGGTCGAGGGAGTTGATTCTGCCCCTCTACTCCATTCTCATGAGATCCCACCTGGAGTAATGCATCCAGCTCTGGGACTCCCAGCTCTGGGACCCCCAACATAAGAAGGACATGGACCTGCTGGAGCGAGTCCCGAGGAGGTCCAAGAAGATGATCAGAGGGCTGGAGTGCCTCCCCTGTGAAGACAGGCTGAGAGAGTTGGGGTTGTTCAGCCTGGAGAAGAGAAGGCTCCGGGGAGACCTTGTAACAGCCTTTCAGTACCTGAGGGGGACCTACAAGAAAGCTGGGATGGGGACAGACTTTTTAGCAGGGCCTGTTGTGACAGGACAAGGGGGAATGGTTTTAAACTAAAAGAGGGTAGATTCAGGCTAGATAGAAAGAAGAAATTTTTTACGACGCAGGTGGTGAGACACTGGAACAGGTTGCCCGGAGAAGCTGTGGATGCCCCATCCCTGGAAGTGTTCAACACCAGGCTGGATGGGGCTTTGAGCAACCTGGTCTAGTGGAAGGTATCCCTGCCCGTGGCAGGGGGGTTGGAACTAGATGATCTTTAAGGTCCCTTCCCACCCAAACCATTCTATGATTCTATGATGTACTTTGAAACCTGCCATGAGAAGCTTCTTGTAAAGTCTAATCTGAATTTACTTTCACTCCAATAGTCTTAATACTACTTTACAGTAGAATTACTAATAGAACTACAGAGGCAAGAGATCCACCTACCAGTACTCCTGCTTACAGTAATAACCTATTTCACATTCCTCAGGAGAATCACCCCCAGTTTTTTTCCTTCAGGTCACAAGGAGGAAGAGCAATCAGACGACAAAGGTAGATTAAGATACCGTGTAGAATAAGACTCTGGAAATGTTGACTTTTCATGCACACACACAAAACTGCTTACACAGCAACAGACTTCTTTCAAATACAGCCAGCTCCAACGTACAAAACTGTGCACTTGAGCAACTCAACTAACTCCTACCAGCCCAAAGCAAAAGCGCATGGCATAGTACACCTCTGCAGAATGTGTGACCTTTAAATAATTAAGTATTTAGCAAGGATGAAGGGGTAACATCTCTAGGTTTCCTGGCTATTTCTAAATCAAGGCTTAAGCATCCTGTAGAAGAGTCTCCTTGCACAGAATAGCAAATCAGAACAGCAGCATGCTTATTGAAAATTCTCCTCCTTCACTGAGAGAATATCCTTGGCAATATTAACTCCTTATAAAACCAAAGCACTTAGCTACTTCATTCACAACTATCATTTGCAATAATCCTGTACATGAGTGGGTACACCTGCCACACATTTTAGCAAGAAGCCTCAACACCGCATCTGGAACCTCAGAGGATGACTTCACCCATCATTTCTGCAAACGCACTCCGTTAGTGAGCTTCTTCCATAATAAAAAAAGCTTGCTAAGGCATCAAACATCCCTTATAAAACTGCAGTAACCACGCAGCCTTCACAGTGCACCTGAGATCAGCTGCAGAGGTTTGTGTGACACAGATTTGAAAACATGAGGTCAGCAATAACACTCGCTTCTCAGACACAATGGTATGAATGACATTCATTACTCAACTTCCTGGATACTACTGATTTTTTTTTTAAACAAAGCAACTGCAGAATCTAAAGGCCTTGGTTTCAAGTTTATACTCAGCTCGCCGCAGAGTCTCTTCCTGCGCTGCCTTACTCCCCGCCCCCGTACCCAACAAAATGCATACCTTTCCATAAACAGTACAGTTTCCCATTTCTCATGCTAGGAAATTGAAGTCCCAATATCACATTTTTGCTCTGTAAGAACCTTTCACCAGTCTCAATGCTTCAACTAGCAATGCCTGACAGCACTCATCTGCTGATGCTCAGTTCTACAGTTCTTCATGCTTTCTAGGAAAATAACGAAGCTGGAAAATCCAAACATTTGTTCCATTTGGGAACAGCATAAGAAAAGCAACAACTAACAGTTGTGCTGCTCTCTAACACCTCAGAACTCCCAGAGAACGAACTTTTGGGGATCCAGGCACTGAATGTTTCCACATCAGTTTCTTCTGCTTCACTTGACCTTGCTTGAAATTTTACCAGCCTCCTTGTTTGGTACTCCTCTAACAATGACAGAAATCAGCTATGCAGGTTTGAGTAGTTTGCTAACATTCAACAACAGCAGTTTGCCATACTACCTCTAACAGCCATGATAAACTTGCACATATTTCATGACATCAATTTTGAGTGAGTGGAGGTGATCATATTTAATCATCTTTGAGGATTTACATAGTCATCCTTATGAAATAGATTAGTACTAGAAGTGACATATTCTATAGCTACTCTACAGCTTATGGCTTAGTGTTGCTCCTCTGCACACCACCTTCTGGTGGCAGCTCCTCCTGAAAACTGCAACTCCCGGTTACTACAAGATGTATTCCTTACCTCTAAGTATTCTCCAGCACAGAAAAAAGTTTGCTTATGTATGAATTTGACATTTTAGGACATCAGTAGCCCCTGTGTAGTGTTGTGATCCTTCATACCAGTGTTGAAGGGAGAGCTGAGGGAAGGAACATAGGACGTAGGCCTGCCTCAGAACAGCACCCAAGCCCCTGTGTTAATTTACACACCACACCTTCTGCCAGCGTAGAAGCAGAAGCTGCAATCCAGAAGCTGAATTCTGTGGGACTCATCACATACTCTACAGGTCACAACAAAGAGCTCAATTCCAGATCTTACAGACATTACTCACCTCATCTATGTTTCTGAGCCACTTGCTGATGTTTTCAAAGCTCTTGGCATTGGTGATGTCATATACTAGCATGATCCCCATGGCACCTCTGTAATAGGAGGTGGTGATGGTGTGAAATCGTTCCTGCCCTGCTGTGTCCCTGCAGAAAACAGACAAAAGTACATATATCAGAGGCAAGCTCCAAAGAAACCAGCATGGTGTATCTATTAGACAAGTGTGCATGGCGCAGTACGGGCTCTACTGCACCACGACCGAGGGATGTGCAATGTTTTTGAAGAGCGGCAGGACACACTCCCAATGTGCAGCAGCAGCAGCTTCAAGGAAGAGCCATTCCCTCCCAGATGTAGTTGAACACTCAGAGAACAAAAAGAGCAAGCTTCAGTAAGCCAGGTTCATGAGGGTACAGAAACTCAGGGCTTGAAGTTTTTCTTTTGGATTTTACTTTCAAGGGGATTGTGTCTTTAAAAACACATTTCAGAGTCAACTATGACAGAGACAAAAGACACTGGACTGCTTAACTGGGCTTACACGACTAAGGTGGCAGAAGATGAAGCTATCTGTTGAACAGCAAAGTGGTGAACAGCAAAGTGGTAAGTTGCAGTAGGTCTTCTGGTATATTACAACAATAAACAAACTCAGTATCAAGTCATGGTAGAAATTTGCTTATAATTATTTTAAACTTAGTATTTTTATTGACAACTTGAAACTCGCACCCAAAAGGAGAAACTTTTATTTCTAAGTCTCATATCTCAGGGAAGTGTCTCAGACTTCTGAGCCCCAGTGGAACCCAGTAGCGGACAGGACGAAAACAGGAGCAAGAAATGCTCTACCAACACTTCGACAGGACTGTGAGCTCCAGAAACATCGTTGTCCCAGACACTCCCTCCTGTTACTGACCAGTTCTTCCCAAATGAAAGTAAAAATAAGCCACTTTAAAACTCAATCTACAATTTTTAAGTTACATACCATAACCACTGACAGCCTGATTAGACACTGCACAAACCCAGCTGACTCAGTACTCAAGTTTCTGTAGCAAGTTCCCAAAATGTTGTAGATTCTTTAGCAGTGCCACTGTCAAAGTCAGAGTCTGGAACTGCAACCAGCGATGACCTGACCCAACTATCCAGTTAACAGCACCACGATGACCAAGAAGATCCCTTTCCATTTCAGCAGCTGCTGAGCAGCCACGAAGACAATCACTCAATGTTTTCTGGAACTCAGACTTAAAACTGAGAAGAATTTTGTTTTCAGATCAGTTTTATAAAGCTTTAACGTGATCTTACAAATATATATTCCTGAAATTTTAGATTAAAGTTTATGAAAAGTAAATCTAGAAGATGTACTATAGCATTGTCAATTTCTATAAGCAATATGGTGAAAATTGATCATGCAAGATTAATGACAGTATCTATTTTCCCATCTAATTTTGAGATCTTTGATGGAATGCATGAGATTTGTTAAACTCACATGCCATTAAGTTGAGAATTAAGAGTTAACTGCATATTCTAGAGCCTTTCAGAGGACATAAACCTAACAGATTACATGTTCACAGATATGTTTTCAGTGACACTATTCACACAAGGTAGAATCAAAGGTGTCTCCAAATTTAAACTGGTCTAAATTGAGATTAAACATTCCCTAACTGCCTTCAAAAAGACACAGCGTTCCCCTCAGCCCACATTTCCTCGTTCACAAACCAGTAACCTCAGAAAAGATCACAGACTGGAGTTGAACTAGCTCAACTCATTTCCCTCCCAACTGTTCCTGAGGTCACAGCGAATGCCTTGCCAGAACACGGACACCACCAGGCACTGAGTCCTGTGAAAACTCGGCTCTCCCCACCGCCCCGTCACCTACAGCTGAACCAACAAACGCTGACTGTAGTTGCCAAATCAATTTGTTTAAGCACACGTCAAATTTCTGGCCAAGTATCAGTTGGCAATGGGAAGTAAATTAAAAGCCCTGAAATCTGAAGATGCCATGGACGAAAATTTCCTGAGATGCAGGGGAAATGCTCTGCAAAGTTTCTTCTCAAAGAGTCTTATTGGCTCTGTTTGGCTTGGACCTCAGACCCAGCTTTAGCACACACGATAGCCACCCGAGAGACTGATTGCCCCACCTTTTATCTCCTCCCAGGAGATGGCAAACACCAGGAAGAGGGCAAAGAGCAAAGGAGGAGGAACAGGGGCATGTCCTAAACCTGAGCACCACTTTGTTCAGAGATGCTCTAACAGGCCATGCTGCAGAGGCTCGCTGGCAGCAGCCTCGAGAGACAATCTAGTCCATTCCCTGGCTCTACAAAACGTTGAGTGATATCCACATTATTCCTGAAAGATGCCTGATGTTCTGCTAAAGACCTCTGACAATTGCTGGCTTGAATTCCCCCTTCTCATTTCCTTTCTGTCCCATTTGAAAGTTTCTCCTGATGGCACACTTGGGTCGTCTTTAGTGCAAATTAAGGCCGTCAATCCTTGTCTCACCTTTCATAGGTAAGGAGAGGAGTTCATTTCCCTTCTTTCTACAACTACTTTTTGCATACTCAAACACAGCTCTTGCACCTTCTCTGAATTTTCTCAAGCCACCTCAAGTTCTTTACAACTTACTCACTGGCCAAAGGTCTAAGATACGCAGCCTCACTTATTACTCTCTGGATTCTCTCCAATTTGCCCATGCCTAAGCAAAAACCAGGACACTCCTCCAGCTGAAGTCTTACCAGCCTCATACAGGAGTATTTTCTAGAAGACTTGGGCATGCCTGTTTATGCATCCCACTCCCTTTCCTTATGATGAAGCAGATTTTTCTGACATTCGAGTAACTGATTACACATGCTGAACTTGATAACTTTGCATTTGTCTCCACTGAATTTCACAGGACTTTTTTCAACGACACTTCTCCAATCAGTCAAAAGCAATCTGAACTATAATCCAGTCCTCTACACAATTTATACTTTGCAACTTCATCTTTTCCTGCTTAGCTTAAATACAATACTCTCTATTCCCTTATCCCAATCATTAAAGAAAACATTGCCTATCATGAAACTCAGGACAGACTCCTGCAAAATATCTCAACACAACTCTTACACATCATTTATTTTCTCTCACCATGAGTTTTGCATCCACTGATAGAGTCTTCACCTAAGTCATTTCCCCCTAACTTGCTTATATCAAGCAGGACAGCGTCAGAAAAGCCTTACCAAAAACATCAAGATATAACGGCATCTGCGATTTCTCCCCTCCTGACAAGGCCAGTAGCCATCACAGTAAGAATTCAGATTGATTTTACACAACTTGGCACTGGCAACACTTAGTTGTTACTCATCGCTTGTCACGTCCTATGTGCCTACAACTAACTTGCTTAGTTAACTCCTCCAGTGTTTTTTTCTGGCAACTGAAGCTAAGCTAATGGATGAAAAAAAAGCTGGGGAGGGAAAAAGCAAAGAACCTGGAGTGTTCCCCCCCCCCCCCTTTTTTTTTTCCTCTATATAAGTACTGTATTTGCCCTTTCCCCTTCTTAATGGATTCTCCATTCATTATTCAGAGATAACTCTTAATGGATGTGAGATTAGAGGACTGACTGAAGCAAACAGAGGAAATGAGTTATGGTTTTCAAACTGCCTACGACTGATGAATCCACCCTAAGCAAATAGCACAAGACAATTGGAGACCGCATGTCTTGTTTACTGCCCTGGCTTTACATTCTTTTGTTCAAACCTCTAGGATGTAACAATATGCTCCAAAGCTATGGGTGTGCAATAAATCCTTGATGTAGGCAAAAACATTTGCGGAAGCTAGCTAGCTCTCCAAGCTAAAATAAATGTAGACAAGGACTATTAAGAGAGCCAAGGAAAATGAAGCCCTACTGGCACAGGAGGAAACCGAAAGAACTTGCTTTGTTTAGCTGCAAAATGAAGACAAAGAAGGTCTTCCTGTGGGACGAGGGAAAAGAGAAGCACAAGGAAAGTGAAAAATCTATTTAAATTATTCTCATACCAACATTAAAGTATGCACAAGCTATATCATATTAGAGGTTTAACCAACAGAGAAGAAATTTCTGGGACAGCTTTCCAGTTGACCTAGCAGAGACTAAAGAAACCTTAAAATGTACTATGATTTGTTTATGAAAGATTTACATGGATGCAACAAGAAGAGATTATATCTGATGATCTGTGAAGATTCTTCCAGTCCCCATAGCTCGAAATAAAGGTCTTCAACGTATTAAACCAAATAATTCCTACCAAAATAATCCTAAGAATTTTATTACTGTCCTACTGTTTCGTCTTATGATTTTTTTTTAAAACTACATAGCAGAATACTGCATTGAAGAAACTGTACTGCTGACATCAGGCACACTCTGGAAGCCTTAGTGACTGGGTCGAAGACTTTCCTTCACAAAGGAACATCTGTAAGATACTTCATGACCAGCAAATTTCAGCTTTTCTGAAAAAACATTGAGCCAGGGGGGAAAAAAAAAAAAAAAATCTATAATGAGTGAAGTATCTAATTGTTTATAGGAAGTCAGACAAACATGCCAAGAGAGTCTCTTCTACCTTGAGCTACGCACATGGTGAATGGTCTCAAAAGCTCTCAGCAGCAAGAGTTAACTTTTAGACACTCCTAGGGTAATTGCAAAAATTAATGAGACTGATTGTACCCTAGTTAGTGGTGCTGTCTCCAGCTTTGGCTGTACTCCACATACTTACTAAATGCATGAACTTGCATATAACAGGGGGTTTCCACATATGTAACTATTTCAGATAGCTATGCTGCTGCACATTTCTTTCACCTGGACAGGTGTTCCAAGTCAGATGATTACTTTTGCAACGAGCTCATTGCTGAGTAAAACAAAATTCGGAGGATGCTTTTCTAGCTATGAAGAAGTGTTCCCAGCAAAGATGCACTGATAGAAAAATGTTACTTTATGGTCTTCTACACAGTTAAAAGCTGCATACTAAAAAAAAAAAAAAAGGCTGTTTCTAAAATTTGGAATCAGTCAGTAAGACTGTATGAAAATACACTGACATACAAGTTTTATGTAAAGATAGGAGGATCAGAGTAGCAGCTAAGTAGGAAAAAAAGAAAAAAATTAGATGTGTTTGAATCTCTGAGTTAAGTGTTTTTCAGTTTACCACAGAAGCAATTT